GCGGAGATACAAAGTGTCCAGCAATATTCTCAGCCGTCTTTATTAGAATGGAGTCAGATATTTGTAAAAGCTGAGTGGACTCAGGGACTATGTACAGGTCAGGTACCCATCAGAGCTGGGTGGACTCAGGGACTATGTACAGGTCAGGTACCCATCAGAGCTGAGTGGACTCAGGGGCTATGTACAGGTCAGGTACCCATCAGAGCTGAGTGGACTCAGGAACTTCCACCTTGTTGTTTCAGATATTCCCTTAACGGACCAACTGAAGGTTCTCAATTTGTTTTACAACACAATGCAGGTAGAACATCGGGACACGCTGAGGGTGAGTTTGTTCGTGGGGGTGGGGATGGTACTTGCGACAAGGTTGTCAGATACAGGGGGGGGGGGGGTACGAATATACAGTGAAAAATGGGAACGTGGTTTTGAGGGGGGGGGGATGAGGTTATTGGGTGCTGATATATATGAGTATGTTTACATTAAGTGATGATTTATATGAGTATGTTTACACAAGGTGCTGATTTATATGAGTATGTTTACACAAGGTGCTGATTTATATGAGTATGAGCGTAAACTACAGCCCAGTCACCAAGATGAACGACAAGAACATGGCCGTCGTGTTTGGCCCCAACGTTATGCTCATCCCCAAGCAGAAGGATCTCACCCAGGAAGCGAAGTGGACAGAGGAAAACCTTGGCTTCACCAGGCTATACTTTACTTACTGTGATAAACTGTGGGTGGTAAGTTGTAAATTTGTCTGATACGTTTTAGGTTTGTCTGGTAAGTTGTAGTTTTGTCTGGGTGGTAAGTTGTAGGTTTGTTTGGGTGGTAAGTTGTAGGTTTGTTTGGGTGGTAAGTTGTAGATTATCCGGTGGTAAGTTGTAGGTTTGTCTGGGTGGTAAGTTGTAGGTTTGTCTGGGTGGTAAGTTGTAGGTTTGTCTGGGTGGTAAGTTGTAGGTTTGTCTGGGTGGTAAGTTGTAGGTTTGTTTGGGTGGTAAGTTGTAGGTTTGTCTGAGTGGTAAGTTGTAGGTTTGTCTGGGTGGTAAGTTGTAGGTTTTTCTGGTAAGTTGTAGGTTTGTTTGGGTGGTAAGTTGTAGGTTTGTCTGAGTGGTAAGTTGTAGGTTTGTCTGGGTGGTAAGTTGTAGGTTTGTCTGAGTGGTAAGTTGTAGGTTTGTCTGGGTGGTAAGTTGTAGGTTTTTCTGGTAAGTTGTAGGTTTGTCTGGGTGGTAAGTTGTAGGTTTGTCTGGGTGGTAAGTTGTAGGTTTGTCTGGGTGGTAAGCTGTAGCTTTGTCTGGGTGGTAAGTTGTAGGTTTGTCTGGTAAGTTGTAGTTTTGCCTGGGTGCTAAGTTGTAGGTTTGTCTGGGTGGTAAGTTGTAGGTTTGTCTGGGTGGTATGTTGTAGGTTTGTCTGGGTGGTAAGCTGTAGCTTTGTCTGGGTGGTAAGTTGTAGGTTTGTCTGGGTGGTAAGTTGTAGGTTTGTCTGGGTGGTAAGTTGTAGGTTTGTCTGGGTGGTAAGCTGTAGGTTTGTCTGGGTGGTAAGTTGTAGGTTTGTCTGGGTGGTAAGTTGTAGGTTTGTCTGGGTGGTAAGTTGTAGGTTTGTCTGGTAAGTTGTAGGTTTGTCTGGGTGGTAAGTTGTAGGTTTGTCTGGGTGGTAAGTTGTAGGTTTGTCTGGGTGGTAAGTTTTAGGTTTGTTTGGGTGGTAAGTTGTAGGTTTGTCTGGTAAGTTGTAGGTTTGTCTGGGTGGTAAGTTGTAGGTTTGTCTGGGTGGTAAGTTGTAGGTTTGTCTGGGTGGTAAGTTGTAGATTTGTCTGGGTGGTAAGTTGTAGGTTTGTCTGGGTGGTAAGTTGTAGGTTTGTCTGGGTGGTAAGTTGTAGGTTTGTTTGGGTGGTAATTTGTAGGTTTGTCTGGTAAGTTGTAGGCTTGTCTGGGTGGTAAGTTGTAGGTTTGTTTGGGTGGTAAGTTGTAGATTATCCGGTGGTAAGTTGTAGGTTTGTTTGGGTGGTAAGTTGTAGGTTTGTCTGGGTGGTAAGTTGTAGGTTTGTCTTGGTGGTAAGTTGTAGGTTTGTTTTTTGTGTGTGTAAATTATAGTCTTGAGTTTTACCTAGGATAAATGTGGCACCTTTCAGATCCCTCCTCCTATACTAAACCAACTACGTCAAAAATACATATCCGGTACTATCAGCAAGAAGAAACCACTTTTCGTAAGTTTTCCAAGATTCTATCTTCAATCAAACTTAGAACTAAGCTGACCGATTTAGCTAGATGAAGCTAGATGAATGAAATAGTGAGGCTAGATGGATGAAATGGTGAGGCTAGATGGATGAAATGGTGAGGCTAGATGGATGAAATGGTGAGGCTAGATGAATGAAATGGTGAGTGAGGCTAGATGAATGAAATGGTGAGTGAGGCTAGATGAATGAAATGGTGAGTGAGGCTAGATGAATGAAATGGTGAGTGAGGCTAGATGAATGAAATGGTGAGTGAGGCTAGATGAATGAAATGGTGAGGCTAGATGAATGAAATGGTGAGTGAGGCTAGATGAATGAAATGGTGAGGCTAGATGAATGAAATGGTGAGGCTAGATGAATGAAATGGTGAGGCTAGATGAATGAAATGGTGAGTGAGGCTAGATGAATGAAATGGTGAGGCTAGATGAATGAAATGGTGAGGCTAGATGAATGAAATGGTGAGGCTAGATGAATGAAATGGTGAGTGAGGCTAGATGAATGAAATTGTGAGGCTAGATGAATGAAATTGTGAGGCTAGATCAGGGGTTCCCAACCTTTTTTTACTCTAGAGCTCATTCTAAAATATCGGTAGGGTGGCGGGCACCACCTATTTTAAATCGACAAACTCCTTCCAGAGGCGTAGCGACCCTTCCCGTCACCCGGGTACAAAACTTTCGATTTGCACCCCCCCCCCCCTTCTCAAATTTTCGATTTGCACCTCTCCCCCCCCCCCCCTCAAACTTTCAATTTCCATCCCCTTCAACCTTTCAATAATGTTTATGAAAAAAATTCTGCCTCTGTCGAATAGTGAGAGGCGGGCACATGCGAATCGTTCGGCGGGCGCCATTGCGCCCGCGGGCACGGGGTTGGGAACCCCTGGGCTAGATGAATGAAATGGTGAGGCTAGATGAATGAAATGTTGAGACTAGAGTTAGTTCAATGATTAATCCTAAGTGTTTCTCATAACATCTAACTTTTACTTTCTTATTATTTCCCCAACCATCTCACGACCATCTCACGACCATCCCACTACAGCCATGGAAAAAGAAGGCTGCACCATCACCAGCAGCACCCACAGCTGCTATGGTAAGGTGTGGGGGTGGGGGTATGTGTGGATTGTAGTGGTGAGGTTCAGGCCTTGGTTAGGTGAGGGTGGGAATTCTAGTGTTAGGCTGTGTGGGTGGGTGTTGTTACAAGCTTTTATTTAACTTGCTTTCTCAGTAGTCAGTCTTTAGTCTGTCTAGATCGAAACGCCTGAGCAAAATTACGGCCACTTCCAACTGACAGATAAGGTTCAAAGTTGGCACATGGGTCAAGACATAAAGTCAATGCAATCTGACATTAAATTTGACTTAATTGGATGCCTAATTATTTTTTTATGAATTAATTAAAATTTTGACCAAATTAGTAGGCAGTCTTATCCAACTATTCCGCACAATTATACACGCGTTATCACGTTCATTAGGTGCGCAATAGTTTTTGATCATGCAACTCTATTGTAAATTAAAAGAATTAAAGTACGGACATTTTTTTTTCATAAAAAACGTTTTAATAACAAGCTTTTATGTAATAATGCAGTAAAAAGGAAAAAAATAAAATAAACGACACACTACTATTTAAATAACTATAAAGAAAAGGGTGAGTCTCTTCCTAAATATTAGTAAAGGTATTCAATAGATCACGGGTTCCCAAACTGGGGGTCGCGGGTCACTTTATATAAAAGGGGGTCGCCACTCGAAAAAGTTTTGGAACCACTTCAATAGATAATAAAGTGACCCACGCTTTTCTTTATAGCTATTTAAATAGTACTGTGTCGTTTATTTTTTTTTACTTTTAGTGCATTATTACATAAAAGCTTGTTATTAAAACGTTTTTTATTACATTTTTTTTACCATGCTTTCGTCTTTTTATGTTGTTGGGGCAGAAGATGGATAGAGAAATTAATAGATCTAGGCGCTACATGTAACATCTTACCCTTGAGACTTTAATTCCTAATTATTTCTATTATATAAATCCCACTGGGAGAGTGGGGGAAGGTGCTATGTAGGGTGAAAGACAGTGTGTGAGGGTAGTGATAGATAGTGTGAGGGTGGGGACAGTGTGTGAGGGTGGGGACAGTGTGTGAGGGTGGGGACAACGTGAGGGTGGGGACAGTGTGTGAGGGTGGGGACAGTGTGTGAGGGTGGGGACAGTGTGTGAGGGTGGGGACAGTGTGTGAGGGTGGGGACAGTTTGTGAGGGTGGGGACAGTGTGAGGGTGGGGACAGTGTGTGAGGGTGGGGACAGATAGTGTGGGGGTGGGGACAGTGTGTGAGGGTGGGGACAGTGTGTGAGGGTGGGGACAGTGTGTGAGGGTGGGGACAGTGTGTGAGGGTGGGGACAGTGTGTGAGGGTGGGGACAGTGTGTGAGGGTGGGGACAGTTTGTGAGGGTGGGGACAGTGTGTGAGGGTGGGGACAGTGTGTGAGGGTGGGGACAGACAGTGTGTGAGGGTGGGGACAGTGTGTGAGGGTGGGGACAGTGTGTGAGGGTGGGGACAGACAGTGTGTGAGGGTGGGGACAGTGTGTGAGGGTGGGGACAGTTTGTGAGGGTGGGGACAGTTTGTGAGGGTGGGGACAGTGTGTGAGGGTGGGGAAAGTGTGTGAGGGTGGGGACAGTGTGTGAGGGTGGGGACAGTGTGTGAGGGTGGGGACAGTTTGTGAGGGTGGGGACAGTGTGAGGGTGGGGACAGACAGTGTGTGAGGGTGGGGACAGTGTGTGAGGGTGGGGACACAAAGAGTGAGGGTGGGGACAGTTTGTGAGGGTGGGGACAGTGTGAGGGTGGGGACAGTGTGAGGGTGGGGACAGTGTGTGAGGGTGGGGACAGTTTGTGAGGGTGGGGACAGTGTGAGGGTGGGGACAGTGTGTGAGGGTGGGGACAGTTTGTGAGGGTGGGGACAGACAGTGTGTGAGGGTGGGGACTGTGTGAGGGTGGGGACACAAAGTGTGAGGGTGGGGACACAAAGAGTGAGGGTGGGGACAGTTTGTGAGGGTGGGGACAGTGTGAGGGTGGGGACAGTGTGAGGGTGGGGACACAAAGAGTGAGGGTGGGGACAGTTTGTGAGGGTGGGGACAGTGTGAGGGTGTTGACACAAAGTGTGAGGGTGGGGACACAAAGTGTGAGGGTGGGGACAGTGTGTGAGGGTGGGGACAGTGTGTGTGGGTGGGGACAGTGTGTGAGGGTGGGGACAGTGTGTGAGGGTGGGGACAGTGTGTGAGGGTGGGGACAGTGTGTGAGGGTGGGGACACAAAGAGTGAGGGTGGGGACACAAAGAGTGAGGGTGGGGACAGTGTGTGAGGGTGGGGACAGTGTGTGAGGGTGGGGACACAAAGAGTGAGGGTGGGGACAGTGTGTGAGGGTGGGGACAGTGTGTGAGGGTGGGGACAGTGTGTGAGGGTGGGGACAGTGTGTGAGGGTGGGGACAGTGTGTGAGGGTGGGGACAGTGTGTGAGGGTGGGGACAGTGTGTGAGGGTGGGGACAGTGTGTGAGGGTGGGGACAGTGTGTGAGGGTGGGGACAACGTGAGGGTGGGGACAACGTGAGGGTGGGGACACAAAGTGTGAGGGTGGGGACAGTGTGTGAGGGTGGGGACAGTGTGAGGGTGGGGACAGTGTGTGAGGGTGGGGACAGTGTGAGGGTGGGGACAGTGTGTGAGGGTGGGTACAGTGTGTGAGGTTATGGATAGTATGTGAGGGTGGGGACAGATAGTGTGTGAGGGTGGGGACAGCAGCAGTGGTGACCCCACTAATCCCAATGTGGTTGCAGCAAGCTTTGAAAGAGGCAAGCATTGATGTACACGCCCCAGAGCTGGCTAAAAAAGAAGCTACAGTCAAGATCACGCCGACCACCACAGCCAACGATGTTGTCGACATTTTTGGTGTGGCGTAAGTTGTTTTTTTCTGTAAAAATTTTTTAATGTACTCTTCTTGTTGGTGTATACGTTATTTTCTGACTGTAAAATTGTAGGTATATTTGTTGACCTTATTTTCTGGTTCTGAAAACTTAATGGCTTGTTTAAGTATCTTGTTGCTAGGTCCCTGTATCTTGTTGCTAGGCCCCTGTATCTTGTTGCTAGGTCCCTGTATCTTGTTGCTAGGTCCCTGTATCTTGTTGCTAGGTCCCTGTACCTTGTTGCTAGGCCCCTGTATCTTGTTGCTAGGTCCCTGTATCTTGTTGCTAGGCCCCTGTATTTTTGGTGTGGCGTAAGTTGGTTTTTTTTTTTCTGTAAAATTTTTGGTCCTTTTCTTATACTAGTTTTTTAATGTAAAATTTATGGTCTTTTTCTTTTTAGAACCTTTTTTCTTTCTTTTCTTTCTTTTTTCTGCATCTAATTTTGGTCTTTTTTTGGCACAATTTCTTTTCTTCTGCCTATGAAATTGTCCAGGAGCTGCTTTATGTTTAAGACCTATAAAATTGTGGCTTGCTTTAATGCGACTTAAGGACTTCATTTTGTTTAGATTTGAAACATGTGTAGCTGCAGTGTTTCTTCCAGGCTCTCCCCCCCCCCCCCGAAGAGAGTCTACACCCCTCCCCCCCCCCGAACGAAATGTAATTTATATAGAAAATACATACTTTTAACAGTGTCCGCCCCCCCCCCCCCCCCTCACGCAGAAATTTTAGTCCGCACACCCTTTCCAGCTATAAAACCACATCTGACGGTGACAAACTTGCAATTGTACAGTAACACAAATGTCTTTTAATGAGATTGTCAGCAGATGTTGTTTTTCCAATCTTCAGCACCAAAATACACAAAAGGACGATAAACCAACAATTGGCCAGCCGTGAAAAAGATATTTATTATTTGTATGAAGTTGGTGGGAACATTGGTAAGTCATGGGGTGTGTGTTTTTGCGTGTGGGGCGTCTGTATTTGTGTGGGGTGTCTGTGTTTGCGTGTGGGGTGTCTGTATTTGTGTGGGGTGTCGGTGTTTGCGTGTGGGGCGTCTGTGTTTGTGTGCGGTGTCTGTGTTTGTGTGCGGGGTGTCTGTGTTTGTGTGTGGGGTATCTCTGTGTGGTAATTCGTCTGTCGTTGTATTTGTGTGTGGGTTTTTTGTATGTGTGTGGGTTACCTGTATTTGTGTGAATAGTTGTCTGTATTTGTGGTATGGTCGTCTTTGTTTATTCGTGGATTGTCTGTGTATGTGGGGGGGGGGGGAATAGTCGGTATTTGTTTATGGGTCATCTTACTAAAATTATAAAAAGTCTGATGTATTTATGTCCACGGTCTGATGTCATGTCACCTGTCTAATGTCATGATGACACCTGTCTAATGACATAATGTCCCCTGTCTAATGTCATGATGTCACCTGTCTAATGTCATGATGTCACCTGTCTGATATCATGATATCACCTGTCTGATGTCATGTCACCTGTCTGATATCATGATATCACCTGTCTGATGTCATGATGTCACCTGTCTGATATCATGATGTCACCTGTCTGATGTCACCTGTCTGATGTCATGATGTCACCTGTCTAATGTCATAATGTCACCTGTCTAATGTCATGATGTCACCTGTCTAATGTCATGATGTCACCTGTCTGATATCATGATGTCACCTGTCATGATGTCACCTGTCTAATGTCATGATGTCACCTGTCTAATGTCATGATGTCACCTGTCTAATATCATGATGTCACCTGTCATGATGTCCCCTGTCTGATGTCATGATGTCCACTGTCTAATGTCATGATGTCACCTATCATGATGTCACCTGTCTAATGTCATGATGTCACCTGTCTAATGTCATGATGTCACCTGTCTAATGTCATGATGTCACCTGTCACAGCTGAGAGATGTATCGACCCACATGCCAAGGTACTTGACGTGTACAAAATCAACCCAGAAGCTGAGTTCTGTATCCGGCCTAAAAAGGGGAGATAAATCTAACGGAACGGGAAAAAATGTCGGTCAGATGCAAGAGCAGTAACTCTTGTTGCAATTTAAACTCAATGCAGTAAACAATTTTAATATTGTAATTTAAAATTATCTCATTTATAACATCATAGTAAATATTGACTACTTTGATAAATTTAATTTTAATAGGTAACTATTGAAATAGAATGTCTCTAAAGTTTGTTGGTTGTTTATTGTGCGTGTGTGTACATCTAAACCTCTAGCCACTTGTAATAGCAATAAAAGCTTATCATAACTCAATTGTATTTGGCTTGGGACATTTTTATAAGGTGTGGTTGTCTCTTCATGTTTTGGTACCTGTATCACCCCATCCACACACTACCCGCACACCTTCCACACACATCTTACCCGCACACCATCCACACAACCTTACCCTCGCCTTCCCCCACATACACACACTAAATGAACACTATCCATACACACAGCCCTTTGTGTTTTTCATCCTTCCCTCACAAAGACACTGCCCCCACACTAATGTCCGTATTTCGATCTCACACACCTAGACTACACAGACCTAGCCAGGAATGATCTGGAATCAGGACTAGAGAATGCTGTGGTGTCCATTTCAAATGACCTAGAGACGAAATTTTCATCAATCGTCTGGTACCTTTATCGTTTGATCTACCCACCACTCGATAGAATCTTACAGCAGTCTCTGAAAAACTTATTTACATTTCATTTACACAAAAAATTATTAATATAAATTAGTCCATATAAAACAACTTCGCGACATGTATTTTTTATGTTATCTGCGCATGGAAAATTGCTATTCAGTGATCGTCATCAAAATAGGTGTTGACGTCATCGTTATTTGTGCTGCCAACTCGCCGCCATCGCGTGTTGTCTTTGTGAAGCAAACATCAGCCAGCACATCATGGTGCTACTTACTCGACTGGGGCCAAACTCGCTCCGGCAGGTGGCCTCTGGGGCCAATACTCTGGCATCAAAGACGTGGGGTGTCAGTTCCTACAGTCCCAGGGACGAGAACGGTGAGTGGGGGGGGGGGGCTGCCCTCATTTCTAGAACCATCTGGCATCGAGAATGTTCGTGGGTTAGTTTATACCAGCAGTTTCCAAAGCTGAAGGCTCACACTAAACTAGTATTGTGGGGTGAGGGGGAGGGGTACCTACAGTATTAAAATATACAGATCTCCAAATAAAGAAATGTAGATCTAGATGTACTGTTCATGAAAACAATTAGTTTTAGGATGCACGCGATTACTAGTTAGCAAATAAAACAAAAGTGTTGTGTGATTATTTTGTTTGTTTGCTGGACAAAAATTCGATCCTCTGAAGGTTATTCAGCTGAAGTATTAGCCCACAAATCAAAGGCAGGTTGCCTATTAGGGTCAGATGGTCGGGTACCTCAGATGGTCGGGTACCTCAGATGGTCGGGTACCTCAGATGGTCGCAGATGTTCGGGTACCTCAAATGGTCTCAGATGTTCGGTTACCTCAGATGGTCGGGTACCTCAGATATTCGGGTACCTCAGATGGTCGGGTACCTCAGATGGTCGGGTACCTCAGATGGTCGGGTACCTCAGATATTCGGGTACCTCAGATGGTCGGGTACCTCAGATGGTCGGGTACCTCAGATGTTCGGGTACCTCAGATGGTCGGGTACCTCAGATGGTCTGGTACCTCAGATGTTCGGGTACCTCAGATGGTCGGGTACCTAAGACGTTCGGGTACCTCAGATATTCGGGTACCTCAGATGGTCTGGTACCTCAGATGTTCGGGTACCTCAGATGGTCGGGTACCTCAGATGGTCTGGTACCTCAGATGTTCGGGTACCTCAGATGGTCGGGTACCTAAGACGTTCGGGTACCTCAGATATTCGGGTACCTCAGATGGTCTGGTACCTCAGATGTTCGGGTACCTCAGATGGTCGCAGATGTTCGGGTACCTCAGATGTTCGGGTACCTCAGATGGTCGGGTACCTCAGATGTTCGGGTACCTCAGATGTTCGGGTACCTCAGATGGTCGCAGATGTTCGGGTACCTAAGACGTTCGGGTACCTCAGATATTCGGGTACCTCAGATGGTCTGGTACCTCAGATGTTCGGGTACCTCAGATGTTCGGGTACCTCAGATGGTCGCAGATGTTCGGGTACCTCAGATGTTCGGGTACCTCAGATGTTCGGGTACCTCAGATTTGTGTCAGGACAGGCGGCGATTGAAAACCTCTGCTAATTAAAGTTATTCCCTCCCCAGGTAAATTTCAAGAATTTTGCCGACAATCAAACATCGCTGAAGTCTTGTTGAACTCACGGGTACGTTAGAGTTAACTAAACCATCCAAGGCGAGGGTTTGGCTTGTAGATAAGGGAATGGGTTAGGGGAAAAGTCAGGATTGGGGTTACGATTAATTAGGACTACTGTTAGTTATAGGGCTGGGGTAACGATGGCAGAAAAAAAAATTGTATCTACTACGTGATGCCGATGTTTTCACAATAGGGCTGGTAAGTAGGGCACCAACCAGTTCTATGGCTCATGCGGGTTTTATTGAGCTGTAGAGCTGATTGGTGACCTACTTACCAGCCCTATAACATAAAACATTTTTAAAAATCTGACTTTGTTTTACTTCGAGAGTTTAGTCAACCAAGATCAGTTAAGATAGGGTTAAGGTTAGAGTTAATATGTTTGACCTTGTTCATCAAGCCAATCAAGACAGCAAAAACCTTGAAGTATTGGAGCGGTCAGCAACGTCCGGTCGGTCTGTTCGGACATGGCAAGACGGAGAGCATCGCCTCGTTCCTGAAGGCCAAGGTCAAGCCATGGTGCCTCAACTCGAACGTCTGCTGGGTGCCTTGTGCCAGATACGCCCAACTTCCCGAGACATTGCCTGTAAGTTAGCCCCCTATGCCACACACTCCCCCATAAATTGCCAGCACGTTACATTATGTAATCAGTCTCTAAGATTACACTATGTAATTAGTCCTTTAAACTACACTATGTAATTTGTCCTTTAAACTACACTATGTAATCAGTCCTTTAAACTACACTATGTAATCAGTCCTTTAAACTACACTATGTAATCAGCTCCTGAGATTACAGTCTGATGTAATCATAGCCTAATATTACACTATTTTATCAACCAATTAGACTACGCAATATAATTAGGTATTTATATTACATATCAAACCCTTACAATACACAATGTAATCAGTCCCTAATATTACACAATGTAATCAGTCCCTACCATTACACAATGTAATCAGCCCCTGACATTACACAATGTAATCAGCCCCTTACATTACACAATGTAACCAGTCCCTAACATTACACAATGTAATCAGTCCCTACCATTACACAATGTAATCAGTCCCTAACATTACACAATGTAATCAGCCCCTAACATTACACAATGTAATCACCCCCTCATGTAACCAAAACCCGCCCCAGCCCTACGATCCCATCCAAGACAACACCGGTGTAACCTACCTGCACGACCTGGCCCATGAAGACGCCGAGAGAGTTCGAGAACTTTCCTACCAGGCCATGAAAACTATGCTGAAGGACAACAATATTAAATTAGCCAAAAGGTCCAAGAAAAAACATAAATGTAGGTACTATTTTACTCCTTGTGCACATGTTATGTAACATACAAAACGATAGTTCTCTTAAACCTCTCTACCACCTCGCCGTTTATAGACTTAATTTTATTTATCTGATCCCTAGCCTTAACACAATATGGAGAAGCTAAAAATTGCAGGTCACATCTTTATTAAAAATTTTTTTTTTACAAAAACAATTTGCGAAACGTTATAAAATTAAAAAAGGTAAATAATTGTCTTAGAGTAGAAAAAAATTAAAAGTATTGGTCGATCTTAAAACGTTTCAGATGTGCATTGTTTTGTAAAAATAAAATTGTTGCACGGATACCTAAGAACAAAGGCGTAGCGAGGGGGAGGGGGGGCGGGGGGGGGGTGGACACCATTAGGTGCCGTACCGGTGACACCTCGCTACGCCACTGCCTAAGAACAAGCGTCAAACATGAAACAATGCTGTGTTATAATGCTAATTTACGATAATGCGTAAGATTGATGTACTCCAGAAAAAGCATTGTATTTACATACTTGATTCAATTTTATGCGCTGCAATGTAGCGAGCGACTGGTCGATTGATTCCAATTCGACAAAACTCTTGCACTCACTCGAAATGTAGATGTATAAGAGTTAACTTCTTTATGAGCTCTGGTTTTATTTGTCAGTTACCTCCCTCTAAGGGTCACTTGAAGATTGATTTACTGTTAACTATTCTAAGACCTGTGATTTTATCAGTTACCTCCCTTTACGGGTTTCTGAAAGAAGGAGTTGCTGTTAACTATTCTAAGACCTGTGATTATATTTGTCAGATACATCCCTCTACTGTTAACTATTCTAAGACCTGTGATTTCATTTGTCAGATACATCCCTCTACTGTTAACTATTCTAAGACCTGTGATTTCATTTATCAGATGCATCCCTCTACTGTTAACTATTCTAAGACCTGTGATTTTATTTGTCAGATACATCCCTCTACTGTTAACTATTCTAAACCATGTGATTTCATTTATCAGATACATCCCTCTACGGATCCACGCTGGAGGATTTGGTGGCTAAAGAAGTGAAGGAGGGTAAAGCGGTGAAAAATTATGCGGTGCCATCTTTCTTCATGCAGGTGAGTGGCTGGTCACGTAACGGGGGTAAGGTGGGCTAAGGTGGGCTCAGGTGAGCTCAGACAAGCTCCGGTAAGCTCCGTGGGTATATGGTTCTTGTTGATGTCTGGCATCAAACTTCAACGAGCGGTCCACATAACAAATCAACAGATCTTTAGCACCAGGGATTAAAACAATATTCTCAGATATCTTCAGTGGTGGCTCCTGTAGTTGACTCAGCCCTGATAGGTAGTGACTATAAGGATAGTTCTGACCCCACTTTCCCTTTGTACGTGACGTCAGAACGAATTTGAATCATCTGTCCCACGGACCACTGGTAGAAGAAGAGGATTATAAACTTTTATAAGACGTCAATCTACTGATGCTCACGGGCTGAGTCTAAGCTCAAATGATGAGCTAAACTAGAGCTCACGTTATGAGCTAATGCGAGTTGATCTATCTTTACAGATGGCCCAGGACATTGAGGTCCGAGGGACGACAAAAGAAGGTATTTTTAGAATACCTGGTGTACACACAAAGGTAAATTAGAATTCTCTTCACACATACACACAAAGGTAAATTAGGCTTGTCTTCACACATACATA